GAGCACTTACCAGGATCCCGGGGGTGCTGTGCTAACCACTCAAAGCATTATCCAGTTTAATCCATCAACCATCTGAGTGGTTATTATTTGTATTGTACAAATAATACAAACTGTATTGTTATTATTTGTATTGTACAAAAAAGCTGCAGCACAGAGATGTCCTATAGCTACTAAATGACAAAGTATATATTGAACCTAGGAAGTCCAAGCTCCAGAGCACTTGTACTTAGTCACTAGGTATAGATTTTTTTACAACGATGAATACTGGCAGGATGCTCAGTTATCCTAGGGAGTGAAATCACAGGTGAGTTTTATTTTCTGCCTTTTGTATTTTCTGTCTTTTAAAAAAATAATTCCCCATTCTCTTCTACCTCCAGCCACTGAAAACCTCCAATCTACTTTCTGTCTCTATGAGTTTTCCTATCCTAGACATTACATCTAACTAGAATCATACAATATTTGCCTTTTGGTGTCTGGTTTATTTTGTTTAGCATAATGTTTCAAAGTTTATCCATTTTGTAGCACATATTCATACTTCATTCCTTTTAATAGTTGGATAATATTCCTTTGTATGGATATAACACTATTTATTCATTCACCTGTTGAAGAACATTTGGGTTGTTTCTACTTTTTGGCTCTTATGAATAATGCCGCTATAAACATTTGTGTACAAGTACCTGTTTGAATTCTTGTTTTCAGGTATATGCCTAGTTGTGGAATTGCTGGATCATATGGTAATTCTGTGTTTAATTTTTCAAGGAACTGACACGCTGTTTTCCATAGCAGCTGCAACATTTTACTTTCCCACTAGCAACGTATGAAGGTTTTAATTTCTTCACATCCTTGTCAACACTTGTTATATTTCTTTTTTTTTTTCATTATAGCCATCCTAGTAGGTGTGAAGTGATACATCACTGTAATTTTGACTTGCAGTTCCCTAATGACTAATGATGTTGAACATCTTTTCACAGGTTTATTTGCCATTTGCATATCTTCTTTGGAAAAATGTCTATTCAAGTCTTATGCCTATTCTTTAATCAGAGTGTTTGTCTTTTTGTTGTTGAGCTGTAGGAGTTATTTAAATATTCTAGATATTAAACCTTTATCAAATATGTGATTTGCAAACATATTCTCTCATTCCATGGCTTGTCTTTTTACTTTCTTTATAATTTCTTGGATGTGCATGTTTTTAATTTTAATGAAATGCAATCTCCCTTCCTTCCTTCCTTTCTTCCTTCCTTCCTTCCTTCCTTCCCTCCTTCCTTTCCTTCCTTCCTTTCTTTCCTTCCCTCCTGCCACCCCATCCTGCCATTCTGCCACCCCAGCCTCCCAAGTAGCTGGGACTACAGGCATGTGACACCACACCTGGCTAATTTTTAAATTATTTTGTAGAGACGAGGTCTTGCTATGTTGCCCAGGCTGGTCAAACTCCTCACGTGATCCTTCCACCTTGGCCCCCCAAAGTGCTGCGATTACAGTCATGAGCCACTATCCCTGGCCTCCTATTTCCTTTTAATGAGAAAAATATAAAATTTTATTTACGAATATTTGTTAATGATATGGGCAAAGTGGGAGCCAGATTATACACATATGACCTATTTATATAAAAAAGACATGGAAGTTAGATCATCTGGAAGGGAGAATTAACTATTCCAAGAAAACTGAGAATGAGGGTTAATATACAGAAAACACTTATGTAACCTTCTATCACTCAGGCAAATTGTGATGACTATTTTTTCTCTTCCTTCTCTACAGCAGCTTTCCAAAGAGAGGCATACCTACTGCTCTGAAGGGACTAAGCCCTGAAAATTGACCTACCTGTCACACCCAGGCCTGGTTCTGGGAGCTCCAAACAGGTCTTTCTTTAATCCATACCTCTTACTAGGGCCATGACTATTGCTGTTTTAAAGATTCATGAAGGGCCGGGTGCGGTGGCTCACGCCTGTAATCCTAGCACTTTGGGAGGCTGAAGCGGGCAAATCTCTTGAGGTCAGGAGTTCGAGACCAGCCTAGCCAACATAGTGAAACCCCAGCTCTACTAAAAATACAAAAATTGGCTGGGCATGGTGGTGGGTGCCTGTAATCCCAGCTACTTAGGAGGCTGAGGCAGCAGAATCGCTTGAACCCACGCAGCAGAGGTTGCAGTAAGCCAAGATTATGCCACTACACTCCAGCCTGGGTGACAGAGTGAGACTCCATCTCAAAAAAAAAAAAAAAATTCATGAAGAACTCAGAAAAAAACAAAACAGTGGAAAGGGGAAGAGGGAAGTCCTTTCTGTTTTCAAATACAGGCTAAGACATTTCTAACCTCCAGAACAGCGGGCATAGCTTCAAGAGTAGCCATATAGATTTAGGTTAAGACAGCTGACAGAACCTGATAATTAAACAAGGTAGACAGCTCTTAGGAAGCTTTTTAAAATGCACTGGTTTCTAGGCCCCATTCCTGCCTCACAGAATTACACTGTTTCAGGAGAGAACAGAAAGGAAATGTTTTGTGATTGCAATCTTCCCTCCTGTGCCCATGGGGCAAGGGATGCTTCTGATTCCCACAGATGCAACATCAGTGATCTGGTGAGAACAAACGAGGTTTTCTTCACCAGAGCATTCAGGATCCCTGGAGAGAGTGTGGGACCTGGCATCCTAGAATATCAGAAGGGGAAGGGACTGAGAGATCTGCTGTATTAGTCAGGCACTAGGGGGCTCACTAAATAACAGCTCTCTTTTCACCCAAGTTCTGAACCAATTGAGAAATAGGGCACAGAAAACCAACAGATGGGGATCAATATGTCAGCTTTATTACTGATAAGAGCTAGACTGGAAGATATGGTTTAGATGTAAGGTCAAATAGGCTTGCTTACACTGTTCCCAGAATAAACTTCCCACCTAGTTACAGGCAGTGCTGGGAAGACTGCAGGCCTCATCTCATGGGGATCTGCCTCTGTAAAACTTGTGGCACATACAGGAACAGAATAACTGTCCCCTTTAATCAGGCTGGCTCCCAAGAGAAAAAAAAGGAGGCATTAAACTGAGCATGCCAGACTTACTGATTAGGTAATTCATATCTTCATTGTGGAGAAGAATGAATAGGGGTGGAAAGAGAGGCCAGGAATTCTGCTCCAGTGATATTCAAATTTTAGTAGGCATCAGAGTCACCTGGTGAGCTTGTTATACCACAGATTGCTGGCATCCACTCCCAGAACCCTGATTCGGTAGGGCTTGATGAACTGTGTTTTTAACAGGTTCCGTCGTGAGACTGTTGCCTAGGTACCACACTTTGAGAACCGCTGCTCAAAGGAAATATCTCCACTTGGAAACATTAGGAGAATAAGTGTTCCTCTTGACAGCCAGACCTTGTTTGGTTGCCATTGACAAACCTGATTCAAACTGAAATGCAGGCTGAGTATTCCTAATCTGAAAATTCAAAATCTGAAATTCTTCAAAATCTGAAATTTGTTTTAACACCAACATGATGTTCAAAGGAAGTGCTCATTGGAGCATTTCAGATTTCAGATTTTCCAATTAGGGATGCCCAGCCGGTAAATAGAATGCAAATACTCCAGAACCTGAAAAATATCTGAAATCTGAAACACTTCTGGTGCCAATCATTTTGGATAAGGGATACACAACCTGTTAAAAAAGAAAAGGTTATTTCATATAGCTAAATGTTATAACAGTTGTTTAAGAACAACTAGACTCAAAGACTCAAATGATGCCTTCAGGACTCTCCATATCTCTCCGCTCTGTTCTGCATGGCTCTAGTCATAAGCGGGGTTTCCTCTGGTGTTGGCAAGATGACTCCACTTATATTCTTTTCCCTAAGTCAGTGTTTCTCAAACTTGAGCATGATTCAGAATCACATGGAGGCCTTGTTAAAACACAGATTACTGCCGGGCGCGGTGGCTCAAGCCTGTAATCCCAGCACTTTGGGTGGCCGAGGCGGGTGGATCACGAGGTCAAGAGATCGAGACCATCCTGGTCAACACGGTGAAACCCCGTCTCTACTAAAAATACAAAACATTAGCTGCGCACGGTGGCGCATGCCTGTAATCCCAGCTACTGAGGAGGTTGAGGCAGGAGAATTGCCTGAACCCAGGAGGCGGAGGTTGCGGTGAGCCGAGATCGCGCCTTTGCACTCCAGCCTGGTTAACAAGAGTGAAATTCTGTCTCAAAAAAAAAAAAAAAAAAAAAAAACAGATTACTGGGCCCCACCCCTGGAGATCCTAATTCAGCAGGTCTTGGGTTACAACTGAGAATTGGCATTTCTAACAAATTCCTAGGGACCACATTTTGAGAACCACTTATCTAAGCAGCTTCTGAAGAAAAGAGATTTTCTCTCTCCTGTTCTTTTCCACACCATTCAAAAAACAAAATAAGACCTGGAATTAGTCTCATTAGCTCCAGCTGGATTTGAGCTGAATGCCCATGTCCTGGAGCCAACAACTGTTGTGATGTTCTCATTGGCCAGGCTCAGATCATAAGTTTCCATAAGTACTCCAGAGGTACCTGGAGATGCAAGCGGAGTTAACTCCACATGAGCTATCCAGACTGAAAATGGGTGAGAGATAGAGCTACATAAAGGTGCTTTTAGAAAATGGCAGGGCCGGGCGCGGTGGCTCAAGCCTGTAATCCCAGCACTTTGGGAGGCTGAGGTGGGTGGATCACGAGGTCAAGAGATCGAGACCATCCTGGTCAACACGGTGAA